GGATGGGGCAGTGGGGGGGTCCCGCAGCGGGGCAGCAACAGGGCAGCACTTACAGCACTGGGAGCTGTGAACGGGCAGAGGCTTTTCCTGCTCCTCCTGGAAGGCATACTGGGGAGAGACAGGCCGGTGAGGGCTGCCTGTTCGCAGCACTGCTGCTCCCCGCCCAGCCCTCACCCGGGGCCTGACTCTGCACTGACTTACATCGTCCTGGTCCCGCATGGCATTGAGCTGCTCCAGCTTCTTGGCCCAATACCTGGCCTCCTCCTCGGGGATATCTGCAAGGGCAAAGTCCCCATGTGGTGCACAGACCCCCCCCCAAAGCAGCCCCCCAGCTTTTGGGGCTACAGGAGCAGACCTCCAGCCCCAACCCCGAGCCCCATGAGCATCCATGGGGCTGGGGGCAAGGAAGGACACACCCCAGTCCTAGGATGCCCAGGGACGGTACCCACCCAGCGGCAGCTCGAAGCGGGTGTCAAGGAGGATACGGTGGAAAGTGGGGTCCTTGGTGCCCGAAATCTCGTTGTCGGTCATGATGACCTGGGAGTCGAGCGTGAGCCATTCCCCAGGGCCCTCCTGCAGGGTGGAAATGGGGGGTGAGGAGAGCTGCCAGGGACCCCCCCTTCCCCGGCCCCACAGCCCCATGCACACAGGGTCCGGCCCCAAGCAGGGTCCTCTCCAAGCAGGGATGGGGAAGGCTCTGCCCCCCCACGAAGGACAGCCGGGGCCGGGGGTGGCTACATGTCCCTTAGGGTCCAGCGGGGGGATGGATGTGCCTGGCTCCCTACCTCATTGGACTGCCGGATGGTCCGGAGGGGGATCCACACCGTCCCCACCATGGTGTCCCAGATGAGCCCCTTGTTCCACACCTCCACTGTCAGGCCCAGGTCGAGCCGGTTGATCTCGCTGGGGAGGGAGGGGAGAGGCGTCAGGTCACCCCCCTCCCCAGCAGCCCCCCAGGGCCACCCCAGCCTCTGCCTGCCCCCTTGGCCCCAGGACTCAGGTGAGCCCCCCAGGGCTGGGGTCAGGGGGAGCACCGGCAG